AGCCTTGAATTTTGAAAGTGACAAAAATATATGAACTTTTAATACTGCAAAAAAGTAACTTGTGTCTATGTCCACATCTTTTTGGCTTTCGTAAAAGAGAAATAGATCAACTGGGTTAGTTGATTGACAAGGACCTAGGCTATTTCCAATTTTGTAAGATGCTTCTGAATTCTCCCATCAATCTAGATTGGAATAAAATTAGGTGCGTTGAAGCCTAGGCTTAGGTGTGACTACATCTATAGATGGTAATGTCAACAACGTAAGTTTAATAGCTCCTCATTTTTCATTTTCAATTGTAAGTTTGCTTCCTTTTTTGCAAACTACAATAAGAAGTAAAAATTATCATAGAAGTGAAGTCACAGTAAACAATTGTAGCAGAAGTGATCTAACACCATACAAGATCTAATATCTAATAGAAAAAGGATCTAAAGCAAAATAAAATTGGATCTATCAGTTTCTGATTTATTGTTATTCAGGATAACATGCGAAAAAAATAATGATGGAGAAGTGCATGATACATTTGTTTAAAGTTCAAACTAGGAGATGTACAGATGTTCGTTAGATGTGTAGGGACACAAATGACAGAAGAAAACGAATAGACAGATGCTTATAAGATCTATAAGAAGGATGTAAGTTTAAATTCCAATTGCTTAGGGAGAAAGAGGGGCAGCAATGATTGTTCACAAACCTATCGACCGAAAGTGTTTCCGATACCTAGGAGGGCAAGTCCAGGACACTAGCATACCTTAATGGAAAGCTCGACAAAACACCCTAAAGCAACCAATTTCTACAATTGGTACTACCAGAATTTTAGCAAAAATAATGAAACCAATTTCTGAAAGCTCAACAGGGTCACTTGAACAACTTCATCAAAGCTAATCATCCTTTTTTCAATAATATAAACAACAATGACACGAGAGAGAGAGAGAGAGAGAGAGAGAGAGAGAGAGAGAGAGAGATTTATCAGCAATCAACTACAGGAAGCAAAGAGTTTAGATCTGAAAAAAATTTACCTTTGGCAGCCAGGTACCTATTGTAGCATGAATACTTTGATAGACTTCTGCTTGAGGATCACCTCCTTGATAGGCTTCACTGGTTGATACTTTGACAGGAGAATTAGAATCCCGTCCAGTACCAGTAACAGCATGGACTGGGGCAGAGATTGAAGGTGGCAATGCATCCCTTGGTACAGAATTATCACGGTACAGATAATCACGTAGCTTTGCAGTCACCTGAACAAGAGCATTTCTCGCTGCTCTGATCTCCCCTACAATCTGCAAGTAATTGCCAATTTTGCATATAGTATATATGAACTTTGTACAAAAACGGAAAAGAATGGCTTGTGCATATGAAAGACAAGACATATGTTAAACTTAGTCTCTAGAAAAGTGTCAAATTTTTTAATGTCGTAAGGCACAAACCTGTACAAGTTCATCAGCCTCCATTGCACAAGGAGGAAGGTCTTCTTTTGGCAATATCTGTATATTGGCACAGGTCAATCTTCGTATATCCGACAGTGACCCATCCATCCCCTCCAGCAAAGCAACTTCACTTGCTGGAACAAGAAGCCTTGTTGTTATGATGTTATCCTTATCAGGACCAAGGTCTACTATGTGAGTTTGGATATGCAACAAAGCTTCCTGAGCTGGAAAAAGGTCATCATCTGGCCCCTGGTGCACAATCATAAACATTTTCTATCATTCAAGCTCATGGGAAACAGCATCAATTACTCTAAAAAAGCATCACTAAAAGGAACTAAATTAGATTGTTGTCAGAAAAAGTTGTAAGCAATCTCTTCTTGCTAAAGCAATTAGTATTTTGGGTGTAGGAGGATAATAGAAGCTAGATTAAAATCTTAGAAGTAAAATTTTCTCTTCGACTGAATTTCTTGGATGGAGCTAGAAGTTTGATATACCTCTAAATATCTGACAATCACAAATCTTCTTGAAGCAAAAAACTTCATAGAGAGATCATGTTCGCTAGACAAAAGATTGGCAAACCATAAAGACAGATATTCCTTAGTTGCATATTTAAGATGGACATAAAACAGTTTGGCATTATCAAACCTAATTTACTTAAAGTGAACCTAGTTATGGTTTTGAGTCATTCAAAGAGAAAAGTTGGTACGGGTGCATCATAACAGTAGTTCTTTAAGTACCTCTTCTGAAGTAATAGTTATGATGCATTCATCTGAACCTGGTATAGGATCAGCAACACTCACGTCCACGCCTATATCAGCTCGCAGCATTTCAATGATTCCATCAGTTACTCCAATAACTCTCTCGACTTTGTCATGGGGGCAAAGAATACGGAATACAAGGTCCTCACAGGGAAATGCCTGCGAGTGGTCATTCACGGGATTTCCATCTGAATCAAATGAGTATCCAGGTGGGAGCGAACCATATGAGTTATTTCTTGCTCTATCTAATCCAGATGAAGAACGTGAAGCCAAATAAGATTCTTCAACAGCTGATATATGTTGTGTGTTGTTTACAAACTCATCGTAGCGCTCTGGTGAATACACTCGTCCACGGAAGGGACCACGATCACGATGCAAGCTCTCCTTTAAACGAGATAAAATAATTGCTACAGCTTTCTTCACACAATTGCCCTCTCCAACAACCTGAAAAAGAGGTGGGGGCAGTATAAGAAAAAAAATCAAACTTGCAATAAAGATAAACCATGAAGTTTCAGTTCATGAAGAAATAATGTACATCAACAGGAATAGAATTAGTTTGTTGAACTAGTAAGGACACAAAAATTGTGAGGATTTCCATGTAAAACTACCATTACCATAGAAATTCCAACAGCTCGCCTGTCACCAATCTAATACTGTAAATTATGTATAGAGTATGTAATAAATACATATAGGAATAATGATGCAACATCAGAAAATATGTACAATTCAGATTATTAAAGTACGATAGAATATTAAGGATATGCTGCTTGTTACATGCGATTATCATGTTGAAGGATTTATGTGCTGTTAAACTCTTTATTAACATTAAGCACCAAGTGACAGCAGTCACAACCATCATAAGATAGTAATGACACCAATAATCTTCTAGAATGATGGTTCAATGGTCATTTTTAACTGTAATAATCTCATGTCAAGCGTATCTGACACAAATACTGTATAAGAGTCCATATATGTACCTTCTCCACCAACTGGAAACTGATGGGAGCAGCGAACTTAAGGTATCAGCATATTAGCTTTCAAGTGCATTAGAAGATCAACCGTAGATTGGTGAAATCTCAAAACGGTAAATCTAAGAACATTTCAGAAGCTATTGCAACTATAAGTTCTGCACCAATAAAACTGCAGAGGGAGGAAAATATGGGCTAAGACAAGAGTGTTGGTGCTACCTGCACTATCTCCTCGGTGTCCGAGACGCATCGAGGTGTGTACTGATCCCGTGGCAAGATCCGGATGTGGGTTTTGGTCTCATTTCTCATCTGCTCGATAATCTTCCCCCCCTTGCCCAACAAGCACCCCACATGGGACCTCGGCACCACCAGCCTCGTCGTCAGCCTCCCTCGATCCCTCACCCCACCTCCCCACCCTCCACCGCCGTATCCCTCCTCGTTTCCACCACCGAACTCGAAGTCTGCATCCACAATCCTCTCGTGGATCAGCAGCAACGCCTCCTCCGCCGGCGAGTACTGGGGCGGGCGGCCGTCGGGCTCCCGCCTCCGGTCGTCCGACGTCTCGATGATCCGTTCGTCATCGTCGGGGGCCAGCTGGTGGACGTTGATCCACGCTCCGGTGTCCTGCCGGAAGGCCTTGATGATGCTGCCGTACTTGCCGATGACGCCGCCGACTTTGGCGTCGGGGCAGAGAATGCGGAAGAAGGTGGTGACAGCACCGGGGTGGGGGGAGCCGTCCTGGGCCTTGTGGGAGGGGGAGGGTGCGGAGGAGGAGGGGAGCGCCGGCGGGGGCGGGGGTGGAGGGGGAGGCGGGGGCGGGGGCGGGCCACGCCGGTCGCCGCTGCGCCGGTGGTGGTTGCCGCGTCGGTGATGGCCGCCGCCGCCGCCGTCATAGCGGGGTTTGGATCGAGGGGGAGGGCTTTGGGAGTGGGCGTCGGGGTCGTAGTGATAACTCCTCTTGGACCGCGATCGCTCCATTGCTTCGTCTAATTTCTTCGTGATTTCTTCTGATCTCTAGGGGTTTTCCTTCGATCGAGATGGTTTGGTTGTTAGGGTTCTTCCTTCGTTTCTCGTCTACTGCCGCTGTGCAAGAATCCAATGACGAGCTCGGGAGTCATAACTTGTAACAGTCGGCTTTAAAATAGCGGCCGTGCAACTTTTTATAACGGTGTTATAATCATTTTGTATGGGAAATTACATGATAAAAACATGATGATGATTTTTCTTTTTTCTTTTTCCCCCGATTTATGCTGTTCATAGTGATATATTTAAGACTCCTAAGAAACTCTCATTCAATATTTTACACTCGCACCAAGTTAAGTACCACAATTTCTTAAATGCAAACTCTTCCTTGCCTTCGAAAACTTTTCGATATCATTCAAAAAGTATAATATTATATAGGTTGGGAATTCCAATCATCGCTTACAAATAAATAAATAAATAAACTTGGTGCATTCATAGTTAAGTATTATTATATGAAAATTTCTATGTATATATAGAATTCAGAGCCCTTTATTCATACTCAATATACACAAAGCGCATCAGAAATATTATTTTCTATATGATCATTTTATATTATCTAATATTATTTTGTTTACTCTTCCACGTTCATATTCACGTAAAAGAATAATTGGTAGATGGAAATTACCTTTTTAAATTATTTGTCGATGTCATTATTTTTCTGTACATTTCATATTCTCATAAGCACATGATATCAGAACTTATTCTCAATTGACATAGTTTGTAATTGATGTAGACCGTCCATAGTTGCATGGACGGTCGAGATTACATGTTTTAAGAAAGAAGCGGTGCCCAGATTGACGCGAATAAAACTGATATAATCGTCTCGTAACGCACGGACAATTATATCCGCGTCCGGGTCGGCTCCCGCAAACGAGGACGGCGCACCGCCCCACCGGCCGCGGGCGCACACGGAAACAGCAACCATGGCCGCTCAGCTCATCCATCTTCGTTTCCCTCCGCGTCCGCTCCATAGGTAATCCAAAAAGTTCACCACCAATCTGTTTTCCTTTCATCGGTTGGCGCTTGGAAGGGAATTTCTCTTAGACCAAATTCTGCTCTCAATGTGTTTGTTAGAATGCCGGAGAGAAGCTCTAATCGCGTCGTGTTTATGCCCGCGTTTCTTTTCCTTCAGTTTGTCGGTTCCTCTGCGATGCGTAGGACGCGATTACAAGGTCTACACGAGGCTTGCGGCCCGGCGCTTAACTGCAAAATGGTTCCCCAAGCTGCGGTACGCTTTGGAAGAAGAGTGTGTTTCCTGCGATGTGGAAAATTCGCGGGGGTGGGTATCCTTCCTTGCTTCTCCTAAGTTATGTGCTTGTATTTTTTATTATCCGTTTTCCTGACAGCCACTCGAAGTTCTGCATCTCTGTCAATCAGGTACCTGATTGTTTTACAGTAAGAACAGGTGGGTCAAGTTTTAGTTGGTCGCAACAGTTATAGGAATAGTTTCATTCGGTAGCTTCAGACTGGCTTTGGATCTAACTGTCTCGACCAAAGAATGAAATGCAAGTCCAAAAATATGATGACACAGAAGGCAAATAACTTTCCCAAAAGATAGAAGAGGAAGAAGTAGGAGGTGAAAAAGTAGTAGAAGCAGCATCCATAGTAGTAGTAGAGGTAGAAGAAGTATACTAAATCAAGGTTCAAAGATATACACTGCTTTGTGTTTAAGTGGTGTCCTAGTGAACCTCCTTTTGCAGGAATTTTCCTCTATATCTTCTAACTAATTGATTTTTGTCTATGGAGTGTTATTAGCATGTGGTATTGCTTTATCTTTCTTTTTAAAGTCAAAACATTCCTCATGGTACTCCAAACAGGAAGTCTCGTACAACCGTGTATGTGCATCTCAACAACGTGTCATGTATGTGAATTAGAAAGGTTCAGTTTTACAATTTAAATTCTTCAGCATTATGGTATAGTGGCTTCCAGATAAATTTAGTATTTCAAGACTTAAAGGACCTAATCCTGAGAACTATACTGTCCTTGAAGTATCAGTGTGAAGGTATGAACTCGTTTGTTCACACTTGTTCTTTGCAGTTTTAAATTATGGGGTGATCCTTAACATAAACATTCCATTTTCTTTAGATCCAGTGAAAATAATCAAGGCATATCATGAACACGCACAAATATTTTATCTATTTTATAGTTTCAGATTCTGTGGTATATTGTCCATACTGTACTGGTTTTGGTCCCATATGGGTATGTTACTGTGCTGATTGTACTGGCTAGTATGGTAAGTTTCCTGTGTATGTTGGTACATTTATTTAAAATCTTATAGTATGAACTATGAGCTTCACCCTACTTTCCGCTGTTCAAGCTTGCTTCCTTTTGTATTTATTCGATATCTACACCTTAGGATATTATTAAATTTGGTTATCCTTTCTTAATTTTGATGCATTTCGGGTGAGTTTTGATTATATTATTATTCTTGATGTTCTCAGTTGTTGGTTTGTTTAATGCTTGTCAATTCTCCTATTCATCCCATGACATAAGACAATATTATAATAACTTATACAGAACATAATTAGGGATATGGAATGTGCATATAGGGTCTTTTGAATATTTAATACATTAAGAAGTTTTACAGCATGGAAAGGAATAGTTAGATAATTATGTATTTGATGCTGATTTCATGTGGACATACGTAGTGTTGTTGCTTGATATGAGCATGCCATATTAAGAATGGAGATGAAGAATTGCTATTTTAATATAATTCTAAACATAGACAATGATAAACAACAATTTCAATGAAGGAAAAAAATTGATTGGACATTGCTGACCGCAGTCTATTGTTTGACATATGGACAGCCAACAATCTCAGCCACAATCAAAGAATAAGCCCTTTGAAAGTTTTCTGGGTGTTCTCTGTTCCAAATTTACCTTTTTTTTTTTCCTTCTTAAAAAGTGTCCTTAAACTTAGAAGTCACTGTCTCAGTAGCATATGACGAGCATAAGCATTAAATGTATATTAATTTTCAAATGGGGTCATATGATGCTGGTGTGGCAAGCATAGCTGCTGATGTTTCCAAACCACTCTTTTGTAAGTTGGACTAAACAATATTTTAAATTGGTTACTAGCAGGTCGAATATGCTTGATGGTGCAATTAACTCTTCAAATGGCATGGATGATTTTGAGGGACAGCTTAAAAATTTATTTCTTGAAGTCAGAGCGAAGCTTGAGATGGGGAATAAAGATGATGCTGTGTCTCTACTTCAAGCAAATTTTGAAGCAGTAAAAGAGCAGATAAATGCTGGTTTTAAAGGTATAGAACAAGCTGCTATTCTTGACACCCTAGCTTTGGGATACATGGGCATGGGCGACTTTAGAACTGTTGAGCATCTGCTAAATATGGTATGTTGACTTGCGCTATAATAAAAATCTGATTAATCTGTATTCATTTTAGGGCTTTTGTTTGTCAATCTGTGTACTCTTTGAACTGTTCAGACCATACATGTTCTATGAATGTAAAGTGGAAGTTTGATGTCTTTCATAAAGCATTTAGTTATTAATGAATTTTCATGCTGTTGTTTTGTGATATATTTTCAATGACTAGCAGCTGAAAGATATAGTTGGTGATCTGCATGATGACATACCATTGATGGATTCAATATTGATGCACATGGGAAGTATGTATAACACTATGGGGAAGTTTGAGGAAGCAATTTGTTTATATGCAAGAGGTCTCAAAATCATAGAGCAAGAGTTTGGTAAGAACTCAATATCTGGTTGATGTTGTCAAATTTACTATCACAATTCTTTGTTATCGACATGCTTGTTTGTAGTTATGCTCTAGGATGTGAGATTTAACTATTGTCTGTGTTGTTGCATCATATGTTAGGTGACCTTAGATGATAGAGCTAGTGTCATGCCTGGACAATAGCCTAGGCAACAAACTACTTAATAATTAATATTATTTGTTTTCTTTTAACAAAAGATGTAACTAGTCTGATGTTCATGTGCATAGTCATTAACTCACTTGCATGCTAGTTTGTGCACTGTACATATTGCTGTTCCAAGTGACTGTAGCCTTTAGATCGTGATGATTTTTTTCTCATGGACATTCACGTAAGCTCAAGGCAATTGCTTATAGGTTATAACAAAAGACATCTTCCTTGAGAATCTTTTAGTTACTGTTGTATTGTATGTGCTGATTAGGGTAATAGTTATTGTCATATCTCAGTGGTATTTGATTTTTGTTACATTGTTTTGAGTGTGTTTTAAGTAGCAAGGACAGTGGCCCATTCTGTATCCAGTCCATGATTTGCTTGGTTGGAACAGAGACGGAAAACAAGGATATAGGATTTAGGTCTTTCTTGAACTTTTCATCCTGTAAGCCACCTTTGGGCCAATTGATTTGTTGATGGTTTAATTATTGAACCAAAATTTGCAATTTGTTGAAGATAGAGCATTTCTTTTGGATATACAATAATATCAAACTTTTTTGTGGAATCTGTGCCTGACAACCATTTGAACCCTATATGCCACAGGTTAAACAGTAGTTTGGTATGAGGCCTATAAATATCTAAAGCACACATTTTAAGATGTAGCACCCCCATCTTTACCAAATCTGTTGACATCAAATTTCATGGGAACATCATAAAAGAACATTAAACATATTCAGCTTGCTTACACATGTTTAGGGCATTGGCATATGAAATTGAGTGTCTTTATACAATTTTGACAAGCAGCATGCTAAGGAACAACTGGCACATGTATTAACCATTATGATATACATATATATATATGTGTATATATATATATGTATATATGTATATATGTGTATATATATATGTATATATATATATGTATATATGTATATATATATGTATATGTATATATATTTACATGTATATATACATGTATATGTATATGAGAGTTACTAGAAGTGTTTTAAGAGTCCATAATCTGTATGATTTTATTTCCTAGTAATTATGAATAAATTGACTAATTAACGATGACATTCAACAGATTTAGCAGAAAATCATGTATTGCAGCAAAATACCTAATATTAAATAATATGTTACATTGGATATCTTAAAAAATACAATTTATATGCAGGAACCTGCAGTCCTTTTCTCATAACACCTCTTATGGGAATGGCAAAAGCCTTGGGATTTACTGGAAGAGTCTCTGAAGCTGTAACACTTTATCATCGGGCTATTGATATCTTGGAGAATGCAAGAGGCACTGAAAATGAAGATCTTGTGATTCCTTTATCTGCTCTTGGTAATCTTTTTATCAGTGAAGGGAAGGCAACAAATGCTGTAGATTGTTTTAAGAGGTAAGTGCTATGTATGGTTTTAAAAAAAAGCATACAAGTAACTGCATGTTTTTGCAATATTTATTGGGTATTTCATGTCTTGTGGTCTATTGACTTGAATTTTAGGCTTTATGATTTTTGAGTGGCAGTCAGGCTTTTGTGTATTTTCTGTTAACTCAGATACACTATCGTTGATCAATTATAATTCTGTTTGACTCATAATTATCCGAACCTTTCCATGTTGAGGATTACTCTTAAGGACATTTACTCTTGCTCTCAGGATATTCTTGACCTGATGACAAATGGGCTTTGCTCGAGTTTTTCAAATTCTTAGAAGTTAGAACTAAATATTACAATTCCATAGCTTAGAAGTACAGGAATCTCAAGATTAACTGATAGCGTAGTTTCTTATAATTGTTCATTTGTCAAAGTTGTAATTGGCAACACAGCTTGACAACAAGATGTGCATGTACATATGTTTGTCATCCTCACCTAATAAATATACTAACATCAGAACATGTTAATACAAACTGGCGAATCAAGAGTCTTTTAGTTTTGGTCTGATTGTAGAAGACTACAGTTGACAGTTTGCATTGTGAAACTCAAAATTTTCCTCAAAGTTTAGCTCTAATTTATTTAACAGGTTCCTGCGTTTGGACATCCATGATTAATGGAAAAAACTATTTAGGTAGACTGCTAAATGTTGTGGGGTCCCTAGTGCATGGAACCTAGACATATGGGTCCCACTCATAAGATTTGTGGGAAGTGGCATTTGTCCTGAAATTTTCCCAGGTGATCAGTCACCTATGCAGCGTTAATAATACATTTGTCCCTGGTGTGCTAATAAGGATGCATGCCATATCGAGGATCACAACTTGTTGGATCATAAGAATTGACATACTCGGTAGGTACTCAAAAAACAATTATCAGCTTTAGCCTAATTAGTACTGGTAAATATTTATCACCTTCCCTTCTCTTTGTGACCAAAGGATGGTATTGGTGCAGATGGCTGTATATATACAGGTTTAACTAGCTTAGATTAATTGAGTGAATAAATTTTAGAAAATCTGCTTGGTTCATTAATAGATAATATTATAAGAGCTGAGGGATGCAAAGCTGGAAGTTGGCTTATATGGTAAATACTAAATAGTAAAGAGTTTGGTGAGGAAATAATGTCTTTAATTGCTAATCTGCTTCTAGGGAGAAAGAAAATGTGATTTGAAATATTCTTCCTGCCAATCGAAATACCTTCTGTAATATTTGGCAAAATGAAAGGACATGAAATTGATGCATGCAGAGAGGTTCAAGTGTTAGAAGGATGTTAACAAAATTGATCATCAATACATTGTTCTAGCTTTCAGCTTTTTTGGACACTTCAATTTGATCTTGGATTCTCCTTCACTTTCATTGTTGGTGAAGCTTGATGACTTACCTTTTAGACTTTCCAATGGGCATTATGAGTTGGCAGTCCCCTTGCTATGTAGCTTCAGCAAGTAATATAACATTGTCCATTTGCTAGAAGAAGAATTAATGGTTAGACAATGTCTGAGTTCCTTTTAATCAGTCCTTGGTTATGAAAGGAAACTAAAAACTGCTTTTGACTTCATGCTTTCATATGAGCAATGGCAAGCACTAAGCTGGACTGAGGAAGGCAAAATGTTCTCACTTATAATATGCTAATAAGAAGTTGTTTCCAGTTCCTCTTCATCATATTGCAAATTTTGCCCCCAACTTTGGTACCTGTAATAGCAAATGCCAGTTTCCATATGGATCATCCTATACTTTTGTGGGTAATAAAATAATTTAAAAAATAGTTTTTTTTCTCATAAGTATTAAGTTTGTGTTTTAACATCAGGATAATAATAGTTTTCTTGACTATTTTCTTATACTTTCTAGAATTTTAGATATATACAGAAAAATTTATGGAGAAGATAATGGAAAGGTGGGAATGGCTATGTGCTCCTTGTCACATGCTGTGTGTGCAAAGGGTAAGTTGTGCCAAAACTTTCTTTAAGGATGCTAAATTTGAACTCCCTTTTACAGGCAAAAGAATATTTATAGCCTTGGTTTTTTCTCTTCTCTGCTCTAGTCTATTCTAAACATCTATTGATATTGTAGGAAATATTAATGAAGCAATTTCTATGTATAAAAGTGGTCTCCAAGTAATTAAAGATGCAAAGTATATGGCTGTAAATGATGACTTACTTGAGAAAATGAGGACTGATTTGGCAGAACTGCTTCATGTTGCAGGAAGGTAAATTGCACAATATATCTGATTCTGTATGCAGTGTAGGACCCATGGAAAATGTTCATTGTTTTTATATATGGATTGTGTTCATAATTCCTGAAGTCTATGATAGCCTTACCCATTGTTCTCTTGATATATGATGCCATATTCATGCTAATTTTTTATTTTCAGATGCAGTATGCCTAAGATTAATCTCTGAACCCAACTGTCTTTACTGTGCTATGAAAAGATTTCAGACTTTTCCCTTTCTTTCTGAGTTCCATGGAGCAGAAGATAGTGTTTAATACTTTCTGAGCAATATTGAGCAACACACTACAAATTGTCTAAAATGACATGGAAGCAAATATTGAGCAACAGTGGGACCTACCTAAAACCTAAAAGCATCACCATGATTATCTTTAATCCACAGACCACAAAAATTTTATGTGCAATGTCGCTAAATAATTTTAAGGAAAGAGAATAAGTTTCTTACAAAGTCCACTTGTTGCTTCCTGCAGTATCATCTAGGGGATTTTGGTACTTGTGTTATTTGTGATTAGGGACCCTTAATTTTAGAAGAAAAGGAAAGGAGAGATATGAAAGAAAAATAGTAAAATAAGGAGATTTGGAAGGTTGGTTGGTTTCATCTGTAGATGTGAAAATATTACGGAGTCAAAATTCAGAATCCAGAGTGTTTTTATTAAGATAGTTTATATCAAAATTCAAAATTGTTTTGGAAATTTTAAAAAGTTATAATCAAGTAATATCAACATGATCATCATCATCTAAGTTTTCATGGGCTTAAACATGTTCGCCACATTGTTTTCTATCCGATGAGTTATGGGTGGGTGTTGTATTTGCCAAAGTTGGTATTCTAATTTTTTTAATATTATGTTGTAGAATTATTTTGTCCAAACAGAAAACCACAAACTATTTATTTGGGTGATGGTATTCAAGGAATTCATTGCCTTTTCTTTTTCTTTTTTTTGTTTCTGTAGTTAACAGTTATATATATATATATATATATATATATATATATATATATATATATATATATATATATATATATATATATATAATGTTAATTGTTCAATTAAAATGATCCCAAATAGACTCATCCCATCAGAAAATGTTTCGCCAGACAGGTAAAAGAATATGGTGGAAAACTATTAGTTGGAGTTACTAAAGAACATGGTTTGGTGTTGTCTGGACCACTATGTACTGGGTAATACATATTGGTCCAGACTTGAAACGGAATGTGAACTACCCCTTTTTGGCAGTCCAGATATGATACAGGGTTTACTGCCTGATAAACCCTCTGAACTGGGACCATGAAATATAAAACATTATCAGGTCATATGATTTGCAACAAAATCATATATAAATTACAGCCATAATATCAGACAAAATGTAGATGATGTTATCAACATTGAGATATATAATCATAAAATGAAGCACAAGGTACAGACAATTGTCTCAACCATGAAGTATAAAACATTATCAAGCCAAGTATGAAAAAGATAAGACAATCTACTTATAAAAAGTACCTGAAATGTAGAACCTTGCTGAAGAATACTAAGGATGTCATGATTAATGAGCAGTTGTATCCTGAAGCTACACAGTGTAAAGAATAACTTGAATATATGTAACTACTTGTTTTACTATATCCCAAGGCCATGATCTATCCAATATTAGAAAAAAGGAATCCATTTCTGTCAAGCATATTTTTCTCTGTACATCAAAATTTATGATGTCACTGCTGCTTAGCAGACTCATTCGAGTCATGCAACTTTTTTGGTTAAACACCATCTTTTCAAATAGAGATCGGAAATACTATTAATGTTCTCCATCAAGGTAAGCACTATGATATGTTGGTTTCAATTAACGTTTTGTTGTCTGGACATAACTCTGCACCATGTTTGTGTCTTTATTGTGCTTAGGGAGCAGGAGGGCAGAGAATTACTTGAGGAATGTTTGCTTATATCTGAAAAGCACAAAGGGTTAGAACATCCTAGTTCAGTGACTCACCTTCTAAACATTGCCATGTCACATTCTCGTTCCAAAAATTTTGCTGAGGCAGAACGCTTGCTAAGGACATGTTGGCACATTATGTTGAGAACAGTAGGCCCAAAGGATCAGTCAATTACAGTCCCTATGTTACACCTTGCAGTCACATTATACAATTTGGATAGAGATGAAGAAGCTGAGCGACTCACTCTAGAAGTAGTGCGCATCCGTGAGGATGCATTTGGAAAGGAATCTCTTCCAGTAGGTGAGCTTGTTATACATTTTTTTTTCTTCTGGAAATATAAAGCTCTTCAGTTTACAGTTTGTGCAGGAACTTATGCAACTGAATTGCTGCATGTACTCTAAAAATTGGAAATTCAGTAGCACAAGTGGCCTTCTGTACTCTGTAGTAGAAACTCGAGCATTATTCCAGTTCTGGAAGCTTTATGCCTCATGTTCTACTGGGTGGTGGTACTTTTGATGGATGAAGCCAGTATAATTAGTGAAAAATCATATGGATTTTGCGAAACCATGTTATGCAGCCTAAATCTATAATCAATCATTTTTGTGATAGGATTAATCCCTTCTTCATTGGAACTTTGACCAGTGATTTAAGTGCCAAAAGTAAATGTGTATATCTTCTTATTATCAGGCTGTACAGGTTTCCTGTCATACTGTTGATAGCATACCACAACTTGCAGTATGTGTCTTAAATCTATATATTTTACCCATAAAGTGGATAAGGACCTCAACGGCAAGATTGTCATGTTTTCTTGTGATATCTGATGAGAGTGCTTTTTATCTCTAGAAGTCAAAATAGTCATTGTAGGAAACATATTTTGTTTTTGGAGATGGTTCTAGAAAATATATGGTAGTAAAGAAATTGTGAAGTCAGTAGTATACGTTTATTTTTCTTGTCACTGCATTGTGCAACCACATTAAGGGTCCTATCCAAGCGTCAATGTTTTTGTATCTTTTAGCCATTGTTGCCTATCTTTAATGATAACAAAATTTAGAACTTGCTTAGCATTAATGTGGCTATTAATTAAGGACCCTTCCATGTGTTAAGTTCATGTCATATCTACTCCAAGGATTCATTATTTCTGTATAGAATTGCTCATTTGCAGGTGAAGCCCTTGATTGCCTAGTGTCCATTCAGATGAGACTAGGAAACGATGATAACGACGTGTTGGCAACACTGAAAAGAGTGTTGAACATTCAAGAGAAAGAGATGGGTTTTGAGAGTGAAGAGGCTTTGACAACCTTAAAAAAGGTTGTCTTTTATTTGGATAAAATGGGAAAGAGGGATGAGAAATTGCCTCTTCAGAGAAGATTGTCCTTGCTCAGAAGAAAATACAAGCAGAAAGTTTCGGTTTAAGAGGCATGCCACTGTGGCCCTAAAATCTATCTTTTCTATTTTCCTTCTCATATATTGATGTCAACTATGACACTAGTTTGCTGTGATGCAATTACATTTTCAGGTTTGTGGCTGGGCAGTGGCTCAAGTTATTTCGTGTGCAAAAGCTATCTACACCTCATTATTGATCAGCTGAAATCTTTCTTAGCTCAGTCTCTGCAGAACCAGAAAACCGATACTACAGTGGTGTCTACCAACTTGGTACCAGTGAAGGAATAGGACACAAACTAGTCTCCGTCAAGCATGTAAATGATGTCTTTGGCTTGTTTTACCTGAACTCAGTAAGTTTAAGTCTTTGGTGGAGCAAATACTGACCTGTTATGGTAAGTGCAACAGAAGGTTTTGATGCATGTAAGTTGCGATCTACCCAAAGTTGTAAATATTATCTTTGAGCGACAGTTTGCTTTGTCCTATTCACAAGTGAGGTTTCCATTTAGATGGATGATCTATAACATGCTTTCGATGAGATGTTTAGTTATTAGCAAAGTTTTTTCTCCAAAGAGGATTTTTGTTTACATGCAAAGTTTTTCGTGATTGTTTCTCACTAGGTATTGTGATTTAATCATTTATTTTTGTTAGTTTAGTGATCAAGAAGGTTAGGCTGGTGATGATAAGTATCAACAATTTTCCTGTATATGTAGATTTGTCACATTACATTGTGATAGCCAGATTGATGTAGATGATGGAAAGTAAACTGGCTCTTCTGATTCATTCATTGCACATCATGTTGTTATGCATATACTACAAGGTTTGTTTGGAATTATACCATCTGACAGTCTATTGATCTTGTTCCTGACTGGTGTAAGACATGTAGTTAGTACTATGGTGGGGACTTCGTATGCATTTGAGTCCCACTCACACAGTTTTAGTAGGTAATGTTTGTTTGTAATCATAGGAATGGCACTAAAACCATTATTAACCTTAATTGCTTGTTAATTTACACATGGTGCTTCAACGAGTTAAGAAGGATTCATTTAGGTCTCCCCTTGAACTGTTCCCCCAGAACACCCGTCTGCCTGCGTAGAGGTTTTATGAGAGAGAAGGTTGTTACTCTTCCCATTATGCTCTTTGTGGGCTAAAACTACTGATTGAGTATTGAAAGAACAGGTGGTTTCCAAATTCTGCAAGAAATGAATCTTGCGATGATGAACCAACGTGCATGCAACTGCACAATCGAAAAGGTAAAAAGAATTACATGTAGAAAATTTTCCTTTCTAATACTTTTTTGAGTTAAAAGACATCCAAATACTTATCAGCCGCAACTCTAATTTCAATTTGTTTATCTTGCAAGGGAAAACATAAACCAAAGACTGGGTTGCCTGGCACTGATATTATTGGCCTGACCAGGCCCTCTCTCTCTCTCTCTCTCTCTCTCTCTCTCTCTTTCTCTCTCTCTCAAGCATGCAGTTGAAGATCATGATCATGTATACAAATGACAGATTGAGGGCCAATTTGCTTCACTTGTCTTTGCAGGCATACATTTGGTAGTGGATTCTCCCTATGTTTCTCATTTGCCAATGCAAGGCCTACAAAGATGACACTGTGACACCAGCAACTGCTGCAGCAGAAGAACTGTATTTGTAGGGTTTTACTTCTGAGAAGATGGAGATTTTATGAACTTGATGGAATGATTAGCCACTGCTGAAGTAACCTACGGTCAATGATATGCAAACAATACTATTGTTGTTATCTTATTAGAAACATGATATCTGGGACTAACATGGCAAGAAATATTTGCCTTTTCCTCGTGATGCTGCAGCTAAATGATCTGGAAAAGCCACTGTGAGGAGGGGACCCGAGAGAACGATGGTGGAACGAAGCGGCACAAAGTGGCCACACGGACATAATTGCACCTAAAAGCGACGGGGATGAACAGCCTTAGACACTTGGTCATATGTGGAACTCATCGTTCAGTGTCTCAGAAGGGATCAAGACTTGACAGGAGCCATTAGTTGATCTGAAAAGAAAGCGTTATTATATCCACAGACAAATCACTTGACAAGCTGCCAAATTGACGTACTTGGACGTTTGATTCCCTCAGAAGCACCCAAGCTTAGGTATTTGGCATCTTCTGAGAGTGACTACCTGCTGAATAAAGAACCATGGGCAGGTTCGACCTGACCAGTCTTCTTGATGCACATTATTTGATGTCGGAGGTGGTGCAGTGGACACCAAACAGACTGCTATTTTTCTAGAAGAAAGGCTGTGCTGGAATTGGAAGCTTTCATGGTTTGTGCATCTTGTATGAGGGTGATAAAGATAGATCGACTCTCTGGGCTCCATTGTGTACCTTCAGCTTCAGTAAGTAACAGCAGAACGACTTGCTTTTGAGTTTGATCTCATTTTGAGCCATGGGAGAAGGTTTGTGGTGAGTTGCTTTCTCATTCAAGAACTGCAGTTTCGTTTTCTCTGCATGAGAATTGAACCTGCAGTATTACCCGCCGGAGATAGTGGAGTCTGGTTGAAGTATTTGGCTGCATCGCTCTCTCTTTCTCTCCCTACGAACCATGTTACACACCAGACAGTAGATTTTGATCATGAGAGAGAGAGAGAGAGAGAGACCTTATCATTGCACGACACGGATGCAACTCTATAACTGCTTCAACATCTAAACAAAGATCTACTTGTCTTGTTTCAGACGCACATCTCTCTCTCTCTCTCTCTTTGTGATTTTAACAGGACCGGGCAGTATCTCTAATTTCTACTCGAATAGCAAATCACTATTTGCTTGATTGGATCTTCCCCAAAACTTCTCCCCATGATGTGATATCCATGGCATTTCCAACACAGGCCTAACCAAGACCTGGCCGAGCTGCACTCATCTGGACGAGCCAATGTGAAGAGGGGGACCCTCGACGACTGTGAAGAGGCAACAAGTTTCTGTATGACCACGACGAGATTGTCGCCTGATCGGCATCCCACGGACGAGAACGATTTGCATGAGATGCTTCAGTAACATATAGCATCGTAGACATGTTGCATTTTTGGGGGGTTTTGAGAATGGCATGGAGCTCATCATTGAGGGTTTGACATGGAGACATTTCTCATCAAGAACAGCTCATGTATATATCATAAGATTGACAAGTGTTGGGAATGTATCATGGTAAAACCATCATCCTTGTGATGATTGAGAGTCGTTGTTGTTTCAGATGCATCACCAGGTGACTCAGTACAATAAATGATATGACCTTGCTTGTCCTGCACTTGGGAGTACTACTTGTCTGCAGTGCCCTTTTTTGGCTTAGGCACCTGAAATAGCTGCCTGAGAAGAAGGGTAAAAGAAGTCCAGTTTTCACATTACTACTAAAATATAGCTATGAATCAGTGTGAGCTCATTGTGGGCATAGGAGAATGTTTGCAGTGAACTTTATGTTGAGCTAATTGACAATGACAGCACCACCCCTTCCAATGAATTTGATCTGCTCGACAGAGTGGCATTTCCTTTTGTTTCTGATTCCGTGCCTTTTTCATCATCACACTTTCCCATATGTCAACCCACCCAGATCCCCCTTCTCAGTTCCCATTTCTTCATTCCACCTTATGAACCAGCAGCATTAGCTGAACAATGAATGAATGCAGCCACTCACTGGCTTTTATTACAGCAAGTTGGAGACAATGGTCATCAGTGCATTTTATACACTGCTCCCAGACAATTCATGACAAATATTTAAGGTCAGGGAGATGGTGCAGTCACATCATGAGCATATTATTCTAAAAGAAGGGCATATGAACAAATAGGACCTATCGATATCATGACAAGGAATCAAGCAATGGGACAAACTGGGGGACAGAATATGCCCATTATGCAAAACAAGTGAAGTCTAACAGCTATCATTGATTGCTGAGCTTATGTCTCCGCTGACATTGATGCATTTGGCTGTGAGTGACTACACTTCATTTGTTGTTTTTGTTCATTCCAAGCCAAATCTGAGTTACTGAAGTGAAAATTTCTGTTGTATACCTCTGTTGTTTTCAGCACTATCGAGTGACTAATCATTCTTCTCTTGTTTCATATTTTAGAGACATTGGTTTGAATGTTCATGAAAATGATACCTAACAAACATTACCCTGAATAAAATATTTTCAAGTATATATTTATACATTCAGAACTTTTAAGATAATTTTGTAATCAAATACTTCTTCTTGTTTTTATTTTGCAGTGGAGAATCTAGTCACTTGGGCAGTCAGACCCTAGATAGAATGGGCAACTGAGGTGCCTCCCAAACTACTAGGCTTGTGAGTGATGAACAGGAGGAGCCATCTCTACAACTTCCATTTCCTCATTCTTTTTCTTTTCTCCTTCTGGACATCAGTCCAATTGTGCTTTCTTGATAGGCTACCGATGGATGCTGCAACAAATTGGACCAGTGGCTCCAATGGAACGCTAGCATTCAAGGTGCACACTAAAAGTTGGTTCCTTCCTAAGCTGATGATCATACTTCAACGAAAAAGATTCCAGACCATTTTTTTATCACATCAATTCAAGAGATGTATGCCCTGTTGTCCTATCTTTTTCCTGTAGTTAGGACCTCTGCTTCATGTTACGATATTCTTATGATCATATCCTCTGAATTTATGCATTGGATTTATGTAACCAAAGTCGGTGGATGTCAATTCTCAGAGAGAGGAGTAAAAGTCAAAGCCAAACTTTTTATGAGCACCAAAGTGAAAAATTGTAGGTGATGCAGACAACTCTCTGACTACCTATGAACTTGGACATGTGACATATTTCACAGAACTACAAAACAGGACATGTTTTATTACCAAATGGTTACTGTCTTATTAGTAAATGGTCTAGACGGAGATGTTCCGAGTCCAATTAGAAGAAAGGAGAGAGCTCTGGGAGTTGCCCTCTACATGCATACATTTGTCTGTTGCTTTTCTATTTCTTTCTTCTTGTTATTATATTGTTCTTGTGGTTCCTGCTTTCTTGTTCTTCGAGTTCCAACCAACAAGGGTCGGAGAGATGTATGCGGAGCAAGGGTTGCTGCTGCCTTACATGTTGGGCTTTCCACAAGAAGTATCAGGAGTTGATCACCATCTCCTTCCATTTACAGCTTGTGAAGACTTGGTCTCCACAGACCTCCCTAATTTTGATCCCTACATGGTATGCATCTCTCCATAATTCTTTTCTGCTCTAACCTGCTGTTTCTCTTCTATTTTTCTTCTTAGATTTCATATAACCTGCTTTCCTGCAGAAATCTAATTCTGATTGATCATCATTGATCTGTGTAGTGTGACTTTCTCCTGTATTCCTTTTCACTTGTCTTCTTTCTTCCATGATATATATAGTCTTGACTAATGAGAAATATTACTGCTGGTTACTCAAATGCTTGGGATATTTGGTGGTGGGAACATGTCACCTCCTGGCCACTCACACCCATTGATCATGTGGATTCTGGTGTGCCATCAATTACAAGAACTAGACTTCTGGTTTTGGGCATTGTTCTCTTGTCCCTTCTTTGCATTTCAAATGGGGTCATTAATTTTTTTTTAAAGGTGTTATTAACCACCATTGGATGGTCCTCTTCCATGTTTACTGTAATCTATATGCTATCTGAAGTAACAATTTCCTGACCATTACCTTTTTGACTAACATCTCTTTCTTCTTCTTGACTGTTTCAGACTGGAAACAAAGAATTCTATACGAAGTCTTGTTTTACAGACTACTACTGCACTTTGTCCTTGAAATCAAGAACTTTTTATTGTTAAAAACACATAAGAAAGCATGCCCTACCTTGAAACCATTGCAAATGGTAATTTTCATAAACACTATTATTTTGATTTCTTTAACCATAAAGTTTCATATACATGCTGAGCATTGTAGGAGCGTTAAAGCAGAAAGATGTATGAGACACATCCATTTTGTCTCATACTAACTGAGAACTATTCTGAGTTAAGGGCTCAAGAAAAATCTAAAGTAGTTTAATTAATATTACATTTTAATTTCTTGAGGAATTTATCGGTCAACATACTTTTCACTGATGTTGAGAAGCATAATTTATTACAAACCTTCATGTGTTTAGACCAAGGTTCATCGTACCACAGTGTATCGCTTGGTATGTACCTGTCCAATAGAGGATCAGTTGTTGGGGATGGAGGAGCAAGGAAATGATAAAAACATAATACTACGATGCAATTAAAAGAGAATTCTTTCAATAAAAAAAATAGAAGTACTATTAAACAAGATGTAGGACCTATAACACTTATAAGACATTCTCAAGTGCACACTACCTTAGCTTCATGAATTATGGTCCTATTTATAGGACCTAATGGTAACTACCTCACCCCATCATGTCACTCATGATTGAGTTAGGTATAAGAACTACCCTCATAACTTCTAAATCATGAGCTACTACTTTAAACATGCCTATAAATACCTAAAACATGATAACTACCTAGATAACTACCTATGAATCATTTCTCAACACTTCTCCTTGATTCATAATTACATACACCGATTTGAAACATAAAATAAATATGTTTCTGAACTAGAAATGACTTGGTTGAGAATATTTGCAACTCGTTCATTTGCGCCACAATACTTCATTGTTATGGCTCCACTTGCTACAAAATCTCAAATGAAGTGATAGTTATCTCTATATGATTCGTTATTTCATGAAATATTATATTCTTCGTCATTACAATTGTGGCTTTATTGTCACAAAATATTTCAGTTGCTTCTTTTTGTTCTTGATGAAGATCTTCAAGAAATCTTCAAAGTCGTATTGCCTGACAAGTTGCTGATGTTGCAGCTACATATTTTACTTCCGATGTCGATAATATGGTTCTTACTTGCTTCTTTGAACTCCAAGATATAGCTCTTGATCCGAGGTTAAAAATATTGCCTAAAGTACTTTTTCTCTCATCCAAAGCTCCTGCTCAATCACTATTAGTGAAACCAAATAATTTATATTTAAAATTATGATAATACTAAATACCATAATTTGTAGTTCCAGTAATATAACGTTGAATTATTTTAAAAGCTCCGAGATGATGTTTGCTTGGGCGATGCATAAACTTAGATACTATACTAACAAAAAAGATAATATCTGGTAGAGTATGAGTTAGATAAATCAAACCTCCAATCAAACTTCTATAAGATCTTGTATTTGTCAAACATGTATCATCTTCAAGTTTCAATTTTTCATTTACATTCATGGGTGTTGCTGCAGCTTTGCAATTAATCATGTCATATTTTTTGAGTAGATCTATTATATACTTTCTTTATGAAATAAAATTTTCATATGATTCTTGTTTCACTTCCAACTCAAGAAAATAGTACAGTAGACTTAGATCTGATATTTCAAACTTATTCATTATGCATTTTTTAAATTTTACCACAAAAGAGTTAGATAAACTCATATATATAATATCATTAATATAAAATCAAACTATAATAATATTATGTTTACTTTCCTTCTTTAGATAAGGAGTAGATTCATTATTGCTCATATTAAATCTATTTTGATGAAAATAAAAATCAATTTTATTATACCATGTCCTTAGAGCTTGTTTAAGCTCATAAAAAGTTTTCTTTAGCTTATATATATTTTTTTCATATCTTTTAACTAAAAAACTTTCGAGTTGAGTAACAAAAATTTTTTTCATCTAAATCTCTATTTAAAAATATATATTTTATATCAAATTGATAAACAGACCAACTCAAGTGAGCAACTAAAGCCAAAAAAGTTCTCACGGTTTTAAATCTATCAACCGGAGAAAAAGTATCATCAAAATTAATACCTTGTTACTGTGAATATCCTTTTACTACAAGCTGAGCCTTATGCTTTTAGATGCTTTCAGCTACATTATACTTTGTTTTGAACACTCATTTCAATCTAATAGTTTTCTTTTCTTTTGGTAGATCCATTAGCTCTTATGTTTCATTCTTCTCAATTGACATGATTTTCTCCTTCATTACATTTTGTCATTCCTCTTTTTCAACTACTCTATCAAAATCTATAGGATCTGAAATAAATAAAACAAATATTGAATCATAAATTTCTGTTAGTGATCTGAATTTTCCTATAGGGGTTTCATCTAAGGAATCATTTGATGAATTTAAATTACTATTGGGTGAGGTACTGGGTGAGGTTGAAGATGAACTTGTTGGAACAAGATTTGTCACTTGATTCTGTAGAGTGTCTAGTTCTATTGGAATCTAAATTTGTGTTTGACCTTCATTGGTGTCCTAATTCTAACTTATTATTTCACCAAACACAATATTTATATTAATAATAATTTTACCACTAACAGGATTATACAATCGATATGCTTTGGAATATAATAAATAATCAATTAAGATGCATTTTTCATCAAGCTTATGATGGTTTTATGAATTTATCAAAGCATAAGCAATATAACCAAAAATTTTTAGATGACTTACACTTGGCTTTATACTATACTAAGCTTCAAAATAAGTTCGATTCATAACAACCTTTGTTAGTGAAATATTTAACAAATAAACTGCTATTACAATTGTTTCTGCCCAAAACTGATTTGGAAGATATTTTCCTTTAAATAAATTTCTTATCATTTTAATGACTGTTTGATTCTTACGTTCAGCTATACCATTTTGCTCCGGTGGTTGTAGTGCTATCAATTCCCTATGAATATCATTTTTTTCATAAAAAGAATTAAACTCATTAGATAAAAATTCATCATCTCTATCTGTCCGAAGTGTCTTTATGCATCTACCACTTTACCTTTCTACCAGTGCTTTGAATTTTTAAAATTATCAAATATTTCATATTTCAATTCTAGAAAATATACCTAACTTGTGTAGATATAATTATAATAAATAATAAAAAATTATCAATTTTCACCAAATGATTTAGTATTCATAGGTCCACATAAGTCAGCATAAATTAATTCAAGATAATAGATGCTCTCTATGCTTTTCAACAAGAAATGGTTTCTTACTTTATTTGCTATAAATGCATCATTCATATACATCAAGTGTATTAATTTTAGGTAATTCAAAAATTATTATTATTTATTTAATAACCTTAAACCCTTAATGTTAATATGTTCGTATCTTAAATGCTACAAATTAGACTCATTCTTTTGAGTTGCAATAAGAGCATGCTTTTCAATATTTGAGACATCAAATGAAAACATCTTGTTTTGCGTCATGCAAATATTTACTATAATCAAACCAGATTTTTTTTATCATTAATAGTGCATGAACCATCATCAAATATAACTAAATATCCATCATCTATCAATTGTCCAATTCTCAACAAGTTATGTGATAAACTAAGAACAAAAAAAACATTATCAAGGTGTTTTACCTTCCCTTGACTTGTTTTCACCTCGATTGTTCCATTCCCTTCCACTTGGATTTGCTTGTCATCTCCAAGTCTAACTTTTAACTTGTGAGTTTCATCAATATCTTAAAATATTAATCTTATTTCTGACATATAATTAGAATATCCATTATCCAAAAACTAAATATCATTTGAGATATCATTAACTTGTAAATGAATCATAAACAAATCACTATTTTTTTTATTTTCCTCCACATAGCTTGCTTGCTTTTCTCTTTTCTAACAATTTACCTTCATGTGATCGAACTTTTTACAATAGTGATATTGAATTCCATTCTTGTTGTTTTTTTATCATAATTTGATTGTTTTTGTTCATCATGTCCATCAAAGTGTCGTTTTCCTCTTCTTCTTCCATTTCCTCTGCCACGAAATCATTCTTTGCCACGTCTTTTTCTTGTTGATTTTTTTCTCTTCTTTTAATGTAAAAGATTCCCCTTTAATCTAAAATATTTTTTCTTCAATTTTCTCAAGTGACCTGTTCAATCTTGCTTCATGTGCTTACAAGGAACCCATTAGTTCATCAAATGAAAAGATAAATAAATCTTTTGTCTCCTTAATTGCAACAACAACATGATCAAATTTCGGAGTTAAACTTCTCAAAACTTTTATAACAATTATATGATCATAAAGATGTTCACCATAAGATTTTATTTGACTAACAATCTCAGTCATTCGAGAAAGAAAATCTTGCATCGATCAATTGCTTTTTATGAAGAAAATTTTAAACTCACGAAGGGTTTGAAGTTTTACTGTAATCATGTATCTTGTATCGGTACGCTTGGTTTGGCTCGGCACAGTTCGGTATGTATTGTACCGAGAGTTGGTCGATACACCAATATGGACCGGTAAGACGAACCATAGTTTGGACCACATATATGCAAGTTGTAATAAGTTCTCTTACATGATATCTTCATTCTTGATGTTCTTGCAAGAGAACCAGAGTACTTGAAGAAATTCTCATCTCTAGCCATGAAGCTAAAGGCAGTTGGAAGATAACGTTGGTAATTTTTTATTGTCTACATTTGGATGTTAATGAGAGTTTCAGAATTACTTTGCATATGGTACATAATGTGAATTTTGACTTAGAATCTTAGAGGTGACCATTTTTATTATACAACTTTTTTTGCTCGTTCAACTCGAATCTGCTTCTGTTCAGGTTATGCTAATAGATCTGCATATAGACAGCCATGTAAATGAATTCTCAGTAACTTGTCCTGTGCATCCAAGAGGTTATTAATTAGTTGCTCTCATTCTTCACCATGCTAACTACATCAACAATTTCCCATGCACACATCCAGAGATTAGCCACTATCTAATGGTAATTCAGGGTATGATTATGCTCTGGTATTCTCAAATAAGAATGTGCTTTTCTTCATAGTATCACAAACTTATCATATTGGAGGTTATTATCTTATTATTCTCATCACATCTTTTTTTGGAGTTTTGGTGCCCTTTAACATAAATTTCCACCTCCATTAAATGAGTTCTCAAACATTAACTCTCAAGACCTGTATTACTAATTGTCAACGGTCTAAACTGTTCTCAAGAAAGGTGTTATATACTGCATTACTGCTTTGTGAACTAACAGATTTAACATGGATTTTAACATAAGCACATGGTTCACAATGCATTTCAAACATCCCTTTCTCGAGAACATGGTTTTTTTCCCTCATAACTAAATTCTAATGGATTTTTATGTAATAAGGTCAGCCAAGTTCACATGTACAGAAAACACAGAGATAACAATAGTATTATTTCACTTATCATATTTCTCTTCCCCGATGCCATATCTCCATATTTTAACATGTTGCAAAATAATTTCTGAATAACTCCATGATGATACTTTTCTCTTCATCAATGTTCTAGATTGTCCCCTTTTATATGCTTAATTAATCCAGAAAGATTAGTATTGGTCATGGTTGGTAAAAAATTTTAGAGAATGTGGAGCTAAATATATGTAAGTTGTTAAAATAAAAAGGCCCCAGGATGTTTCATGGAATCATATCCATATTATAAACTATTTCTGACTAAGTCGTCAACTTAATAATTTAAGTTGTATAATCAGTAATTTGAGGACATAATGCTTCATTAGTCGAGGAAAGAAGTTTCAACATTCTTGTTACATTCACTAAAATGGGAAAAAGAAACGTAAACCGCTAGGATTTGGGTCCGATGTTGTTAAATGCATATAGAATTGGCTACCTCTTCTACATGATTCCTTTTAGATTGGTTCTGCAAAAGCTATTAGCATTTCTGATTAAGAAATCTTTTACATAGTCATTTATAAGTTAAGAAAAATAGTTTGTTGCATTTCTGTTCTGAAAAAAAAATATAGTATACTTAAGTGTATATTTAGAAGTTTATGATTCTAAGGAACAGAGCCAAAGGGAATACAACTGCCTTTCATTTGAAAATCTTCTTTGGAAAAATTCACCAGATCCAGCATTTAACTACAATGCCTGCCAATTTGTCAATATGGTATTGTTCATTCATTTTACAGGAAAATTCATCTTTGGTTCTTTTTCTTTTTCTTTTTTTGTTGATGATTTGCACAGGATCTCTTTCTTAGCCTTTGCCCTCCATGGAACAACTAGAAGCACTCCATGGAACTGAAGAAATTAAACATAATTAATTAGTCTCTAAATCTTAAAAATGATTTTGATTTATGTTAGTCAAACTATTTCTTTATTCTGGTCATCTTATGATCCTCAAATTCAAAAAAAGATTAGAATAATCATTTTGTCTCTAATGTATGGGATAGAAAACACCAGAAAGATAAAATATAATCAAGGAGGATTCAGAAGTTCCAGAACTTTAAGACTTAATGTGAAATTTTATTGTGTTATGATTTTCTACAGGGTAACCTGGTTCAGACTTCTGCTATCTCAGAGTATGATCTGGGAGGAGTTGGAGATCTGTTCAAAGCACCAGAACCCATTCTAGAGGAATTGTTACTTGCATTAGATCCAATAACTGATGCCATGTCAGTGATGTCTGGTTATGGAAGCACTATAACAGAAGAAACAATAAAAATTGCAGATATGGAATCAATCCAAAATGAAGATTTTCTGGGTGATGCCTTCTATGACTGCCAAAAGGATCTTTTTGCTAAGTCTGCTGCAGGTGTACTTCCTGAGGCATTAGATATTGCAGTTGCTGCAGTGCAGACTGAAGAAAATTTAGCTGGAGAAAGGTCCTCTGCTGAGGGATCTTTACCGAAGAGTATCAGTTTCGGATGTCTAAGCTCAGTGGATTGTTTTAACATTTCCAGTGTTGAATCATCTTTTCTTGGTGTTAATGACATGAATCTTGATGCTGCATTTGGGATGAGGAGAGTATACAGTGAAGGAGATATACAGGTCAGACTAAAAAGTTACATGATTTTCCATACGGCTTATCGTCTCTAGTAATCATCTATTATTTGGCTGGTTTGCAGATTGATAAAACCACACCGGAAGAAACATTTCCTTCAATTATTCTAATTTCTGAATTTGTTTAGCTTTACTGATGATGTCAATCATATGTGACTGATAGAGTCAAATTTACCACGAAGAATTGGTAGTAGTTTCCAGTGAGTAGGAAGCACCTTGAACTTGTTGAGCTGCATAGCTGCATTAGCTAAATGATGACAGTTGCTTATACTCAATATTATGTTCACTAAGATATGTTTAGGTGGCTCTGGCAATTTCCACATGATGTTGCAGGTCATTCATTGATTTTTAGTTTGTTCTGGCAGATTCTTGGAATTGATAATTTAGTTCATGGTAACATGAACATTGTTCCTTCCTCTAATCTAGCAACCATTGTGGATGTCAAGATTGAGGTTAAGATTGAAGAAAGAAGGGAAAAACTTTCCAGGTACAGGACGAAAAGGAAGAAAAGAAACTATGGCAGAAAGATCAAGGTGAATTTCCTTTCTTCTTATTCAAAAATAGTTCTGGGCTAAATTCTTAATATCGATAAGGGAAAATGTAGACTTATTTCTTGACATTGAACATGCTATCGGAGTATCTCCTTTCTTTAAATTTGCACAACCCCCCAATAGTGTTCAAAATGTGTTCCTGAGCTCATGTGAATTACATGCGTATCTAGGTTGGAAGGTTATAATGCAAAACCCCTTGCATTTGAAAAGGCTTGTACTTAATATAACCAAAGATATAAAAGTGTGAATGCTATTCAGCAATGGCACATGCCAAAAATGGTTTCTTTTATCATTTTATTTTATCGTTTTATCATTTTGATCCACATTGTTCCTGTAGTTAGCAAAACTAGCATCTAGATCATTAAAGTTCCTTTAGTAGAGATCAACAGTATTGATTATTAAATGCACTTTTGACTTGCCTTTTCATAAACTTGCCAGAAACTATAAGGATGAAATATTTCGTCTCAAGATTTTGCTAATTTCGAGTTCTTTTTTTTTCTTCATCAAACATTACTTGAAAAATGAAATCAAGAAGGTTATCCTTTTGATTTAGATAATGGTTGCAGAGCTTAAATCTCAGACGGACTTTCTAACTCCAATTATTTGCAATAAGTTGCCTAGTAAATAAGCTGTCACAAAAGATTTCTGAGACAAAATCTCATCCTGTTAATGGCTTCATGTATAAACAATCAGATGGTTTCGACAAAATTTCGAAAAAAAACATTGTGTCTATTTCAGCTGCTATAATCAAAACTTAAAATGACTTGTTGAACAACAGATTACCATCTGCACTTCCTTTGAATTCTCCTCTTTCAATTTAATTCCAATCACACTGACCATATCTCTGCATTTTTGCAGTATGCTTGCAGAAAGGCATTAGCTGACAGCCAGCCTCGTATACGAGGAAGGTTCGCGAGAATGGAGGACAGATACGCAAAAACCGAGTAGTACGAAGTTGCAAACTAGAGTTGTGAATTATAGGTTAAGTGTATAACTAGCTTGCAGCTAGTACTGCTTTCTAATCACCCCTGTAGATAATGTATGCTTTCCCAGTATTATGGTCTAATGTTGTTTATGGACTATGAGTTACATAGAATAAACCTATAGTTATTGGCATCTCTTGGTGTACTGTTAGTCTGTGTTAATTAACATTTATAAGTAGATCTGATGTAGTTATGTAGATGATGATTCTATCTCTGATGTGTTTGATCTTAAGCTACACATATCGACTTTTTCTGAAGATTCTTCTCCTCATTAAGTGAGTAATTTTGAGTTGTAGGAAAAATTATATATGTTCTTGTGGTGAGAAGGTATCCGCATTAGGATTGTCATGCCAAATCAAGCAACAAATGTGGAATCAAGAAAATTTTCATTACATTCACTGAGATGCATGAGCAGTTTGAACACAGCAATCATGGTTTTTCCTGTCCCTCTGCGACTTTTGGTACCTGCAACTCTTGCCGAAAACAAGAACAAGTAGCAGTCTGTAAAGGCTCAAAGTGCAATGGATCAGATTCTTAGAGGAATCCGGGAATTGATTTGAACATTGCAATCCATGAAGGTCTTGCCAGTTGGTGAGAACCAAATAAATGTGAAGACATATAACCTTTTAGTGATTTCATTCATCAATTTGGAGCAATTGGATTAGTCAAGTTTCAACTAATCAGATGCTATTTTGAAGTAATTCATCAACTCAGAGAAACCAAAAACTACTCAACAGAAATATATGCCCTTTTACATGAACTGATACTCGTTGTTCTAACAACAAGATCATCAGAGACAAAAAAAAAAATTCCTACCTAATGCTGTCCCCTTTTTACTCCCGTCAAAGAATACAGATTTCTACAGTGCTGCATTCTGACGTCAGAAAACAAGGAAACAGAAGCTTCCGTTGATCTCATCTCTGTGTCATCTTTTTCTGTCTTACCATAGATGACAATATATAGTCCACGTTACCTTTCTGATGCATGCATGCGTGCGTGCGTGGATGGTTGCTTCATTTACACTTCAATTCCGCCGCTAGTGGTCGAGTTACTGTCGGGCGGGCTAATCGATATCCACAGTAGCGAGATGACGATGGCGAGGAGGCCGGCCCAGACGTAAACGATGGTGGGCGTCCTCCCCCTCCTCCCCATCAGCCCCTTGGCGAAGGGGTACATGTGCGCCAGCACCCAGAAGCTGAAGAAGAGCCCCCCGAGAAGCTTGCTCCACTGCGGAATCTCGCTGTACATCGTCCTTGAGAAACCCACCACCATGGCCACGATGTTGATGACGATGATGGTGAGAGGC